TGATTACCAACCAGCCTGGTAGCACCATTCCCTCCTTCATTAGTTCATCACTGTTGGACATCCAGAGTGGCAGGGGGGATGGGAGGGAGCATGGTGATCAGGCCAGAATGCACTGAGGAGACCAATGGATTACTGAGTATGGGCTGGTGACTGACTCCATGCAGAAACAGCAACAAGAAAATTGGTCTTGTGTAAGGCTAGCATCTACCATATGCAGTATTATCTCTCCATCCCCCCGTCCATATATTTTAGACTGTCAGTCTGATAACTTGGCTGATTGAAACTAACAACTGTTAGACATTATGACACCTACAAATCATGTTCATGATATTTTATATCACAACATTAAAGAGGGAGAGCAAGAACCCTGCTGCAAAGGGAATAAACTACTTTACTTGGAATCCTGACAAAATTCTATGTAAGGAGTTTTACATGGTGGGGCCTCTTATTTAGAAGAATATCTGTGATGTTATAGAAGGAGCTGTTTCATTTTATGTAAGGCAATATTTGAAACATCGTTTAAGGTTGTTTTCATGGTAAATCAGGTAAATTATTTTATAGAGATCAGGTAAATTAAGAGGCCATTTAATTAATATGAAGCAATAACTGAGAAAGGATTTTAACATTTTTCAAAGATCTCTAAGTTTGTAACATGAAATTTGGGAGGAGAGAGTTTTTATAGGATATTTTTCATACAATGATTAATAGAGGGAAAGACATTAACTTAATGATTTTGATATGGCTTAAGATAAAGCAAGAAGCAACAACCAAATATGAAGAAGATTAGATCTGAAAATAAGAAAATGTTTAATGTAGTCTGCCAGGAAATGCAAACAAAAAATGTGGAGCTGTCAGGGAGGTTTCTAACAAGATGGGGCATTTCTTGAAATATGATTTTATTTCAGATATTTAGCCAAGGAACCTCACAGGAATCTTCATAGTACAGTTTGTATGGCTTCTCATTTGATTTCTTTATACCAAAAAAAAAAAAAAAGAAAAGAAAAGAAGAGAGAGAAAGAGACAGAGAGAGAGAGAGAGAGAACAGTTTTGTGGTATATAAGGAACTACAATATGTTTAAATATGTTTATCACTTACCTGTATAGACCAAAGTAACACCAAAATTATAATTGGAAATTAAAAGAGAGGAGCTATGGGGGTATGGTGCCGCCAACAGGTCAATCTGTACCTGTGAGGCAAGTGCATCAGCAGCCTCATGGCGCCTTCAGACTACCAGATACCCCAAAATTGCTGCTGTGCCTTTGGCCAGACCCCAAAAACTTGGGGCAAGGTTTGCCAAGAAAGTAAATGGCCAAAAGTTAGGTATGTGGGAAACACACCCACAAACCACCTCCGGCTCAGCTATATAATTGGAGGCAAGGCCTCTCTGGTTCCTGATTGAACTGCTTAATGGACATGATCCCAGGGACTCAGAAACTTATCTCAGAACCCAGTGACTTTAGGTAGAAATGCGTCTGGTCTCTGCAGTAGGCTACCAGTGCTGGGCCAACCCAGATGGGAATAGGTTTCGTGCCTTGGCCTGTTCCCCCAGCGGCCCAGTGGCTGCCATCCGTCTGAGGCCCCTGGATAGTCACATTTGGGTCCCCAGTGACGTGACACACAGGGCCTCACAGGATGAGGGTGGAGCCGGGTTTGTCCTCCCCACCCCAACGAGACCCCAAGTCATCATCGCCCACGAATGGCCTCTCTGGCTCCTGATCAAGCTGCTTAACGGCCATGATCCCAGAGACTCAGAAACAAATCTCAAAACCCAGTGGCATTTGGCAGAAATGCATCCGGACTCCACAGTATGTTACTGTTGCTGGGCCACCCCAGGGAGGAAAGGGTGTTGTCCCTCCGCCTGCTCCCTCTTGGCGACTTGGTGGCTGTCATCCTCCAGAGGCCATTGGACAATCAGGCTTGGGCCCGCAGTGACGAAACTTGTTGGGTCTCACGGGATGGGGGGGGGGAGGTGGAGCCGGGCCTGTCCTCCCCACCCCAACGAGACCCAAAGTCATCGCCCACGAATGGCCTCTCTGGCTCCTCATCAAGCTGCTCAACGGCCTTGATCCCAGAGACTCAGAAACAAATCTCGAAACCCAGCAGCTTTTGTCAGAAATGTGTCCGGACCCCACAGTAGGTTACTGTCACCGGGCCACCCCAGGGGGGAATGGGTGCTGTCCCTCTGCCTGCTCCCTCTTGGTGACTTGGTGGCTGTCATCCTCCAGAGGCCATTGAACAGTCAGGCTTGGGCCCGCAGTGACGAAACTTGTTGGGTCTCACGGGATGGGGGGGAGGTGGAGCCGGGCCTGTCTTCCCCACCCCAATGAGACCCCAAGTCATCGCCCACGAATGGCCTCTTTGACTCCTCATCAAGCTGCTCAACGGCCATGATCCCAGAGACTCAGGAGCGGATCTCTAAACCCAGTGACTTTTGGCAGAAATCCCTCCAGATTTAAGTGTTAAAATTTCAGAATTTCAAAACCACATGGCCCTACTGCAACCACACGACATCATATGTTATTCATAACCAGCAATAGAACACAAATTATCTATTGTTGCCTTTTCAGCAGATCTGAGTGTTGGGGTAAAATCTTAAATAATGGTGGGTCTGGTGTTGAAATAGTGAATGTGATCAAAGTAGAGAGAGAGTAAGGTAGAAATCATCTGCCCCACAGGCAGGGGGAGGGTGTGGGGTGGGGGTATACTGGGATTTTTGGTGGTGAAGAATGGGCACTGGTGAAGGTACGCGTGTTTCATTGTATGACTGAGACTTAGACCCAAAAGCCTTGTAACTACTCTCACAGTGATTCAATAAATAAAATTATAAAAAATGGAAAAAAAGAGAGGAGCTATAACTAATTTATTTTTACTAAAATTGGGGCTTTACTTGAGAAACTCATGTAAGCGCTAAGATTTTTAAAGTGAAATAAGAGTGGGGAGAAAGGGCTGCAAAGTTTAAGAAGAGAACTACCAGAATGACCACCAACTGGGAGCTCTTTGTCACTATTGCTACAACATGGGAAGATGCCATTGTTTACAACATTGATGAGGAATATGATCAACTGGTTCAGAACCTTCATGATTGTGTGAGGAACGCCAAGAGAAAGATAGCCACAAAAAAATGCCTATTTTTGAAAACTCTTGAGCTTATTTGCCAACGTGGTTTGGCACATGCCTCAGGCAACCGCAAGGAAACGTCTGAGCTAGCATAGCAGTGAAGAGATGCGATCAAGGAAGACCTCAAAGAGAGAAGAGCAGAAGTGCTGGTAGATGCGGCAGAAGCTGGGAAAAGCATTCATAATGCCCGCCTGTCCTTTGCCAACTACAAGACCAAGATGACTGCCCTCCGACATCCTGAGAGATCTATCACATCTTCCAGAAGGGCAATGGAGAAGGTTATTCATGACTTCTACTCAGATCTCTTCGATAGCCATGTCCACCTGCTGACATACCAAATTCCACAGGATGGATATGTCATTCCCAATGTTCTCCCTTCCGAAATCCGACATGCCATTTCGTCGGTAAAGAAACGAACAGCACCCGGCCCAGACAAGGTCAGACCCGAACACCTGAAGAACCTGCAGTCAATACTCATCAATACGCTGGCTCGGCTCTTCACATGCTACCTGTCTGATTGCAAGGTTCCGTCCCAGTGGAAAACCAGCATGACTGTACTACTGTACAAGAAGGGAGACATCCAAGACATTGGCAACTATCGCCCAATCTGCCTATTGTCTGTCATCTACAAGCTGTTCACTCGAGTCATCCTGAATAGGGTTGGCAGAACACTAGATGAAGAACAACCATGCGAGCAAAGGATTTAGCACCATCGACCATATCCACACGATAACCAAGCTCATTGAGGTTTCTCAGGAGGTCAAGATGCCGCTTTGTCTAACGTTCATTGATTTAAAGAAGGCCTTTGATTCTGTTGATACGGAAGTGGTCATTGAAGCCCTAGCCAATCAGGGCATTCAAACTCAATACATCAGGATCCTCCGTGAGCTGTATTATGGATTCACTACCAGGATCTCACCATTCTACTAAGAAGTAATCATCCATGTCAAGAGAGGGGTTCGGCAGGGTGATACCATTTCACCGAAACTCTTCAGTGCCACCCTCGTGAGCATCATGTGATGACTGGAATGAGAAGAAATGGGAGTGAATATAGATGGTCGGCAACTATACCACCTCCGCTTTGCCGATGACATTGTTCTAATAATACCAAACATTAGCCAAGCGACACAAATGCTGGCCGACTTCGACTGTGAGTGTGGAAAGTTCGGACTACAGCTCAATCTTATGAAGACAATGTTTATGAGAAATAGCCTCTTTCCTGATGCTCCATTTGCTCTCAATGGAACAACCATCTCCGAATACAACAATTATGTGTACCTAGGTCGAGAAGTCAACATGATGAATGACCTGGCACCTGAGTTGTGCAGGAGGAAGAGAGCAGCTTGGAACACCTTCAAGAGCATTGAAGAAATAGCTAAGAGGACAAAGAATCTCCGGCTCTGGGTACATCTCTTTGATTCCACTGTCCTTCCTGTATTAACATACTCCTCAGAGACTTGGGCCCTATGCAAACAGGACGAGAATACTATTTGAGTCTCCAAAAGAGGAATTGAAAGAGCTATGCTTGGAGTATCATGTTTCACTCAAATGAGAGAAAGAATCTGGAATTCCGACCTCTGTCGACGATCAAGTTTGGTCAGACTTCTTCATCAAGATCATGAACGATCGGTTTGAGGATCTTCGTATTCTTAGAATGAACAGACCCCATTGGGCTACACTGGCATGTGACAGGGACAAATGGAGACGTTACTGGCGCCTGCTCGAGCAAATCGACGATTAACGGGAAGTAAAGTGATCAAGTGATCAAGTGATGGCATATACTTTTCCTGAATAGCTTGAGGTGATCTGGGTTGGATTTTTGGCATTACTCCAACTCCCATAATAAAGAAAAATATTTCACTGTAAAAACTGCAATTATTTAGCTCACTTCGGCAGCACGTATACCAAAATTTGAAAGATAGAGAAAAATTAGCATGATCCCTACACAAGGATGACAGGTAAATTCGTGAAACTTTTCATGTTCCATATCTTTCAAAAACAAAAATAAAATGAACAAAACAACTGCAATTATCTGTATCTAAAAAACAATTACTTCCTATGTTTTGGTTAGTATACTGGCTCCAGGCAGTCATAGAATGACAAATACTGCATTATTTTCTATATGCATTTATATTTGTAAGCATTCATATTGTACCTTTTACATTTAAGCCATAGATCCTTAAAATTTCTTATGAACACCATAAAACTACAGAAGGAATCATTGTTAGTGCATCAAATATCAAATATGAAATATTTTGCCTTTCTGTATACTCCCCAGATCTCAAGTCTCCTAGAAACTTGACATTTTGGGCTTGACCTAATTTGACTTCCATAGTAGATCTGTGGTTTTCTCCATATTACATTTCACTGGAATCTTTTATAATGATTGATAAAAAACAATTTCAACCAAACTGCTTATTCATTTATTCTATTTGAACAGCAGAGGGCAGAAGTATCACTTAAAATGAGGAAGTGTGAATTTAGGCCTCCTGGTTAGGGAAAGCCTGGCAAAATTAGGGTCTCCTATCACGGAAAAACAGAATTGTGTGAAAATTAAAATAAAGGAAAAAATAAAGTGATGATGGCATACCAAATGTTACAGTGCTTTTTTGTGCGTGAGTGATAATATTGGTAGAAAACACTGCTGAGCCAACAACTTAAACTCAGATTTAAAGGCTGAAGTAAGAATATCACAGATAAGGTACTTGCCTTGCAAGCAATTGACCAGGCTCACTTTCTGGCAACACATACAGCCCCTGAATCCCACTAGCAGTGATCCTTGAGCTCAGAGTCAGGAGTAAACCCTGTGAACCACTCCGTGTGACCCCCCAAAAAAACAAACAAAAAGCCATACTGAATAGCAGTATGGTTATAAAGAATGGAAAAGCAATGGTGGTCTTCCACTGAATCTATTTAAACTTTATAACAAATGTAAAAATTTATTTATAAACATCTGACATTTCATAGAAAGAAAATTATCCAACAATGATTTTAGTAAAGTGACCTGTGATTCTCCACGTCACATTCAATCACTGATTCTTTGTTTCTTCCAGGTTTGGGGATGAAGCTATACCTAGAGGTTTTCAGGGCTTACTCCTAGCTCTGTGCTCAGGGATGACTCCCGGTGGTTACCAAGGTGGTTGCCAGAGCAACCTGGTCAGCAGCATGCAAGACAAATGACTTAACCCTATTCTGTCTCTTTGGGCCCATCACATTTCTATTTTAACAGTGACCCACCCACAGGCAACAGATAAAGTAACTTCCTTATAGTGATACCATAACTTTTAACACTTTTGTAATCATGTTACCTAAACATAAGAACATATTCAAAAAAGAAAAAAATCTATTATAAAGTGTATTCTCAAAGCTTAGCTTCAGATGCAAATGTTTACATACTTAAGAGAGCAAAGGAAGTCTTTGAGAAACACTGGTATTTAGAAAGGATTAAAGGAATAACTTTGTTCGATGGTGTCTCTTGAACCTAAAAGCATTTTTCCTTTTTCTGAAATCTTAAGAAGAAAAGTAAGTTAAGCTGTGTGTGTGTGTGTGTGTGTGTGTGTGTGTGTGTGTGTGTGTGTGTGTGTGTTAGTTTGGATACTGTCCATTCCCTAGATTTTTTTTTAACTATTCCCAAAAGTATTTACAATGTAAACATTTTACATTTTGAGTACCCTCGGAGCAATGACTGGGCTGTTAAATAGATTGTGATGGTTTTTTTTTCATTAAAGAAAAATTCTCCTACTGCACTTATGGTTTGCTGTGTGTATGTGGAAGGGGTGGCGAGTGTCACTTATTCTCATTTTAGACATGCACCTTGGGAAGAAGTCCTTTATACTGTCAACTTTACGACAGGCAGAACAGTGAAGAAAGGACATCCCACACATCTGCAAACACCAAATCTGAACTATCATCACCAAGAAATAAACATCTGGATGCACTGATGAGATCATTTTGATAAATATGTTCAATCCCCCAAATACTGCAAGAATAAACTTTTGTACATTTGTTTGGAAATAATTTTCTGTATTTAATATGATGATTTCTATCCCAAATTATTTTTTATAACATCTAGAAAATTTTATATGCTTTCAAAATGGACTGAGTGCTCTAATTTTTTTCTTAAATTTAGAGCAATAGTTCAAATGTAATCATTTTGGATACCTAAGACCTAATTTAAAATGCATCTCTGAATTTTAATATTTTTCTTAAAAAGGCTAATTTAATATCAATATAGAGATTAGTACAAGGATTAAAAACTTGGATGCTACAGTCAAAGTATCTGAACTTTAACCTGACTGTACCACTCAGAGCTTTGTGACCGTAGGCAAGTTACCATGCTTGTCTGAGACTGCTTTTTAATTGGTTGATATTAAAAATATATCTAGTCTGGGACTGGAGCAAAGTGCAGTGGATAACGTAGGACACTTGCCTAGCACACAGCCAACCTGGGTTTTGTCCCCAGCATCCCATGTGGTTCCCCGAGCACCACCGGGAGCAATTTCTGAATGCAAAGTTAGGAGTAATCCTAAACACTGCTGGGCTTGGCCCCAAAACCAAAAAAAAAAAAAAAAAAAAAAAAGAAAGAAAAGAAAAAAATAACAAAGAAAGAGAGAACTTGTTTTAGAGAGTCAGTATGACAACTAAGATTTATAAAAACTTTTGAAGGTTTTTCCCAAACAGTCTATATCCTATGTTATTGTCAGAGAGTTAAAAAATAGAATATATAAGATATTGCTATAATACTATATTTCTATATATCATTTTATAATAAATCAAAATAAATCAAGCAAAAACTGTTCTGATAAGAAAATAAAGTGAAATCTGAAAATTGTATCGTTTGTAAAAATTTATTTATATAAAACTTAATTTGTAAATAGTCAAGAAAACATCCCTTAAAACACATTAATAGTGAGGGATTGTGTGTTTGTTTCTGCATGTGTGTGTTTGTGTTGCATAGGATTGAATCCAAGGGTCTCAAAAATGCAGAGCAATTTTTCCACTGCTAAGTCATGTCCCTAATCTTTAAGAGGCAGTTGTGACAGAGCAAAAATAGTTATATGATGTGCTCTTGAATCGCTAAATAAAAGAACACTGAAAGGTAATTCAGAAAGCCTGACTATCGGCCATTTTATCTTAAAGAAAAACATATAACAATATCATGCTTTGGGGCTGGAGAGATAGTACAGTGGGTAGGATGCTTTTCTTGCATGTGGCTGACCTGGATTAAATCCCCTGAATCCCATATGGTCCCCTGAGCATACCAGGAGTAATTACTGAGAGCAGAGGCAAGAGTAACTCCTGAGCATCACTTGTGTGAACCAAAAAAGAGAGAAACAAAAAACCCAAAAGATATTTTTTAGTAAAATTTGAAGCATTAAGTCAATGATTTTTCTCAAGATTTGGTGATTATTTTTTACATCTTGGCATTACTATTCAAAGTGAATCCTTAGTTAAAGAAAAATAAATGGTATTTTCCAATTAGATCAATCAACCCCAAATTATTTTACAATCTATTTTACTCATATTAACAAAGCAAGAAAATTTCATACTATACAGTTTTTTAAGCTAAAATAACTATAAAACACACCTCTTACTTTTACATGCTTTAAAAAAACATAACTTTCAATACATTGGTGGGGAGCGCTGGAGGGACAGTGCAGCAGACAGGGTGCTTGCCTTGCAAACAGCCAGCAAGTTCAATCCCCAGCATCCTCTATGGCGGCTGAGCACCACTAGGAGTGGTCCTTAGTGCAGAACCAGGGGTAAGCCCTGAGGACTGTTAATATGGTCAAAACAATATACAAATAAATAGAATGCTACACTTGAGTTTCTCTAGTAGCTCATGTCTCAGATCTAACCAACAGTATTCGAAGATGCAACATGATAAAGAAAAATACTAATGTCTGACAAGAAAATAGTCATTTAAATGATGTAAATCATTTATAATTGATTTAATATTTTCAAAGTAGAGGTCGACTAGAAGACCAGCTATATGCAGAGTAAGAAGTGGGGAAAAAGCCGTAGTTGGTATTTCCATCTATCAGATTACTTGCCATTCTATGTACTATATTAATTTAATAATTCTTTACAGATATATTGAGGTTAAACAATTTTTTTCTAAGCCTAGTCTATTCATTATAATATTGTTGATTATCTGATGCAATTCTTCCTCAAAATAAAAATTTGAACTTCTAGTGAAGAATGAGGCTGGAGCAAGCTATTGCTTGCATTATTGCATAGCGGGTAGGGTGTTTGCCTTGCATGTGGTCGACCCGGGTTTGATGTTTGATTCCTCTGCCCCTCTCAGAGAGAGGGGGCAAGCTACCCAGAGTATTCCGCCCACTCAGCAAAGCCTGGCAAGCTATCCGTGAGATATTCGATATGCCAAAAAACGGTAACTGGTCTCACAATAGAGATGTTACTGGTGCCCGCTTAAGAAAATCAATGAATGGGAGGACAGTGACAGTGAAGGATGAAAATGCTGATATATTATTACATATAAATAATAATTTAAAATCCATAGTGCATTGTGCTTTGATGAATAACAACTTATTATAATGACATTAAGAAGAGCATGTGAAGATTAGAAAAGTCTTTTGTTACAAAGTTTGATACATACAGTGCCAGGTCGGGGATAAGGAATTCTTCCATCATACTGCACCCAACGATGGTCTGCACTTTCCTTATGAGCATAGGGACCGTTGAACACAGCTCTGATGTCAGCCATGCTATATACACAGACAGCAGAGCCTTTGAAGATGGAACTGAAAGACAACAACCGGAATCACTAATTCACTAGTTCAATGCACACTTATTGCGCATAAATTCTATCAGCTACTGCAGACAAACTATTTAGCATATTTGTTTAATAGGAGTTGTAGACAAATGTACCTATGTCCTCAAGGAGCTTAAAACACATTATCTTGTATAAAAAAGAATAGAACTTGATAATAATTATATTGAAGATAAACAGTTGAGCTAGTGGGCAGGTCCATGGATGTCTATCCCCAATAAAAAGCAGACTGGAATCTTTTCATAGAGGAAGAAGAATTTAGATTGATACTTGATGATATATCTAATGGATAAGTAAGAACTACTTAGAAAAATTGTAGGACTAAGAGAAAAATGCAATGAAGAACATAAACAAAATTTATTTAGATGCTCTTGAATTTTTTTAACTTATTTTAGCATAGCACTTTCTAAAACATCCTAAAATAAATTTGCATTTCCTGATTTTTAAAAAAAGGAATAATAAAGATACAGAAAGCACAAGTGTATAACTTATTTGGTTTTTAATGTACTTAACTGACTATATATAGTCTATCAATTTATCATATAATATTTTAATATTTTTAATTAAAATTGTTGAAAAAATCATTGATTTTGGATTTTACATATAACACTTATCTAATCTCTAAAGTTAATAATTGGAGCCCCATAATTTATATACAAAATACATGATAATACTACAAGTTTTTGCAAACTAATAACAAAAATTGTTAGTTATGTCATCAGCTGTTTGGTTTTTGCTTTATTTCTGAACATTAATGACATGTATTTTCTTTGCAGAAAGGTGGGTCACACTAGGCAGTGCTCAGGTCTTACTCTGGTGGTACTCAGTGACCATGTGCAGTCCCAGGGGTAGAACTGAGGCTGGCTACATGCAACATGCATCTTAGCCCCTGTACTAACTCTCTGGCTCTGAAAGACATTTTGTTTGTGTCCAACACTGTCAGTTATCTCAGCTCTTAAAAACAAGTTTACCTTTAATGATCTAAGAGACAAAGCATCTCAATACTACATAACTGAACTAAAAATTTCCCAGCATGAATGGATTAATCATTAACCATTCCTAAAATAACATTAGTGAGAAATTGAAGGAAGTGACAGTAAACTGACAACTAGGATAAAACTGGTGCTACAGGAAGTAATTAATTTATAAAATTATAAAAATCACACAGTCTATGACATTTTATTTAATTAATTAATTGGCCTTGTGTCATACTCGGTGATGTTCAGGAGCTACTCCTGGTTCTGCATTCAGGAATTACTCTTGGCAGGGCCCAGTGGACTATATTCGATGCCAGGAACCGAACCCAGGTTGGCCGCATGCAAGGCAAATGCCTTATCTACCCCTACCTATGACATTTTAAAGTAATCAGGCATCATGATTAAAGACTGCTAATTTATCTTCTCATTGGACAAAAGATATACATGAATCTGAACTTAAAATTTTATATTTAATAAATTAAATATAAATTTATTAATTTATAAATTAATAAATTAAATAATAAACTTTATATTTAAATTTATATATTCATATATATTTAAACATGTTTATATTTAAACATATATATTTAAATTTATAAATTGGCAGGAAAGTGTAGTACAGAGTAATAGCATTCTAGGACATCTTTATTCTCATACTTAGTCTATTTTTTCTTGATAATTTTTAACCAATAGTTTATTTAAACTTATACATAAGCTCTGGTGGACTTCATGAGGAAAATAATGCACATAAAAATTGCCTGCAAAACATCTTAACAAATTTTTCAGAAGGAGACAATAAATATATTCCTCTGATACCAATACCACTGCCACCAATTCATTCAGTATTAACAGCTAGTCATAAAGACTGAAACATAGTTATTAAATAGTGAAAGACATTTCAAAGAATGTATCATTTATAGCAATATCTTTACAAACTAAAAATATATAAAGACATATATTAAAGGTAGCTAAATATAAGTTATTTAATTAAACAAAATTAAGACAATAGAACTCACATATTTTAAAAAAAGGTTTTAAAGATGCTGGGATAACTTGGAAGTAAGTCATTGGATCTGTGATAAAAGTAGACATTAGTGTAGAGAAGAAAAGATTATAAGGTAGAAATCAGGAAAATATTTTAAATTTAACTCATGCTTATTCCTAGTTGTTTTTTTTTTCCTCTTTTTTGTGTAACTAATTCCATGTATTAACAAGTAATGTCTAAACTAGGTACTACTTAAATGGTTATAAGCAACCACACTCACATACTTCTAGAAGTGAAAATATAGCAACATGTATTGATGTTTTAAAAAGAACAAGCCTGGGGATATGGTGCCACCAGCAGATCAATCTGTACCTGTGAAGCAAGTGCATCAGCAGACTGATGGCACCTTCAGACTTCCAGATACCCCAAAATTGCTTCTGTGCTTTGGCCAAATCCCAAAATTGCTTCTGTGCTTTGGCCAAATCCCAAATATTGGAGCAAATTTTACCAAGAAAGTAAATGGCCAGAAGTTAGATATGTGGGAGACACACCTACAAACCAGCTCCGGATCAGCTATATAATTGGAGGCGTGGCCTCTCTGGTTCCTGATTGAACTGCTTAACGGCCATGATCCCAGAGACTAGGAAACAAATCTCGAAACCCAGTGGCTTTTGGCAGTGTCCGGACCCTGCAGTAGGTCACTGGGGCTGGAACACCCCAGGTGGGAATAAGTTTTGTGCCTTGGCCTGTTCCCCCTGGCGGCCCCGTGACCGCCATCCTCCAGAGGCCACTGGACAGTCAGGTTTGGGCCCGCAGTGACAAGACACATGGGGTCTCACGGGATGGGGAGTGGAGCTGGCCCTTTCCTCCCCACACCAACGAGACCTCGAGTCACGGCCAACGAACAGCCTCTCTGCCTCCTGATCAAGCTCCTTAATGGACATGATCCCAGAGACTCAAAAACAAATCTCGGAACCCAATGGCTTTTGGCAGAAATGCGTACAGTTCCTGCAGTAGGTTATTGGCACTGGGCCACCCCAGGTGGGAATAAGTTTCATTCCTTGGCCTATTGCCCCTGGCAGCCTGGTGGCCATCATCCTCCAGAGGCCACTGGACAGTCAGGTTTGGGCCCACAGTGACGAGACACGCGGGGTCTCACGGGATGGGGGTGGAGCCAACCCCTTCCTCCCAGTCCCAACAAGACCCCTAGTTGCCACCCATGAATGGCCTTTCTGGCTCCTGATCAAGCTGCTTAATGGCCATGATCCCAGAGACTCAGAAACAAATCTCAAAACCCAGTGGCTTTTGGCAGAAATGCGTTCAGACCCCACAGTAGGTTACTGTTGGTGGGCCACCCCAGGAGGGAAATGTTGCTGTCCCTCTGGGTGCTCCCCCTTGGAGGCTCGGTGACCACCATCTGCCAGAGACCACTGGACAGTCGAGTTTGGGGCCACAGTGATGAGACACATGGGACATCACAAGATGCGGGTGGAGCCGGCCCTTTCCTCCCCATTCCAATGAGAACCCGAGTCACCGCCCATGAACAGCCTCTCTGGCTGCTGATCAAGCTGCTTAATGGCCATGATCCCAGAGACTCAGAAACAAATTTCGAAACCCAGTGGCTTTTGGCAGAAATGCGTCCAGACCCTGCAGTAAGCTACTCTTATTTTTTTCATAATTTTTTTATTTTTTCTTCTTATATTTTTTATTGAAACATTGTGAGAAAAGTTACAAAGCTTTCAGGTTTAAGTCTCAGTCATACAATGATCAAACACCTTTTCCTTCACCAGTACTCATTTTTCACCACCAAGAACACCAATATACCCCCCCCCCCCCCATCACCCCTCCCAATGCCTGTGAAGCAGATAAATCCTACTTAACTTTTATGGACATTGATTACATTCATTATTTTGCCAAAAGATGCACCATTATTGTTTACAATTTCCCCCCCAACAATTAGAATTGCTGAAAAGGCATTGTGAAATACTTTGTTTTCTATAGCTGGTTATGAGAGTCAAATAATGATCTTGGATTTCTGCAAAGATCCTGATAATTACGAGATTGGTTTCTGTGCATCTGGTGTTATGGCTGCACCATAGAGCCACTCATTGCGGGGGGGGGCAGCTCGTGACCTCAGAAGGGCGTGAAGGATGAGCCGGTACCACCCCCCTTCCCATGAGACTGCAGTTGCCCTGTTGCCGCCGGCTCATAACTGGCATTCCAATAAGCTCTGAGGTGGCAGCCACCGTGCTGCCGGGGGGGGGGGGGGCGGGGGGGGGGAAGGGCTGAAGGGAGCAACACCCTTTCCCTCCCGGGGAGGCATGGAGCCATAGTTTAATGCATGGTCCATTCAATTTTCTGCCACAAGCTGCCAGGCTCTGGATTAAGTCAAAAATTGCCTCTAGAGCATGAAGAGTAGGTTACTCTTGCCAGGCCCAGGGGGGAAAGGGTGCTGTCCCTCCGCCTGCTTCCCCTTGGTGGTTCAGTAACCACCATCCTCCAGAGGCCACTGGACAGTCAGGCTTGGGCCTGCAGTGATGAGACATGTGGGGCATCACAGGATGCGGGTGGAGCCGGCCCTTTCCTCCCCGTTCCAACGAGACCCCTAGTTGCCCCCATGAACGGCCTCTCTGGCTCCTGATCATGTGCTTAATAGCAATGATCCCAGAAACTAAGAAACAAATCTCAAAACCCAGTGGCTTTTGGCAGAAATGTGTCCGGTCCCTGCAGTAGGTTACCAGCTCTGGGCCACCCCAGGTGGGAATAGGTTTTGTGCCTTGGCCTGTTCCCCCTGGAGACCTGGTGGCCGCCATCCTCCAGAGGCCACTGGACAGTCAGGTTTGAGTCCACAGTGACTAGACACGTGGGGCCTCACAGGATGGGGGTGGAGCCGGCCGTTTCCTCCTCACCCCAAGGAAACCCCGAGTTGCCTCCCACAAATGGCCTCTCTGGCTCCTGATCAAGTTGTTAAATGTCCAGGATCCCAGAAACTCAGCAACAAATCTCGAAACCCAGAGGCTTTTGACAGAAATGCGTCCGGACCTTGCAGTGGGTTACTCTTGTCAGGCCACCCCAGGGGGGAAAGGGTGCTGTCCCTCTGCCTGCTTCCCCTTGGTGGTTTGGTGGCCACCATCCTCCAGAGGTCATTGGACAGTCATGTTTGGGCCCTCAGTGATGAGACACGTGGGGCACAATGGGATGGGTGTGGAGCCTGCCCTTTCCTCCCCATGCCAACAAGATCCTGAGTCGCTGCCCACGATTGGCTTTTCTGATCAAGCTGTTTAACGGCCATGATCCCAGAGACTCAGGAACAAATTTCGGAACCCAGCAGGTTTTGGCAGAAATCCCTCCGTATTTAATTGTTAAAATTTCAGAATTTCAAAATAGCGCAGCCACTAATGCAGCCATGCAACATCATATGTTATTCATAACCAACAACAGAAAACAAATTGTCTACTGTTGCCTTTTCAGCAGATCTGAGTGTTGGGGGTAAAATCCCAAATAATAATGGTGGGTCTGGTGTTAAAATATTGAATGTAATCAAAGTAGAGAGAGAGTAATGTGGAAATCATCTGCCCCACAAGTAGGGGGAGGGTGTGGGATGGGGGTATACTGGGGTTTTTGGTGGTGGAGAATGGGCACTGGTGAAGACATGGGTGTTTCATTGTATGACCAAGACTTAAACCCGAAAGCTTTATAACTGCTCTCACGGTGATTCAATAAATAAAATTATAAAAAATGAAAAAAAAAGTAAGGTGGAGTTCATGCACAATTCAATCAGCCTAATCAGTGGCTGAATAAATAGCAGTACTCTTCCATTAAAGAAAATAAATAAATAACAAGCACAACACAAGGTCAGGTTTTTCTTTCTTTGTTTTTCTGGGGGGCCACACCCAGCAGTGCTCAGGGATTAGTCCTGGCTCTGTGTTCACTGATCATTTCTTGTGGTACTCAGAGGATCATAGGTAGTATCAGGGATAGAATGTGGGTCAGCAACTGAATGCAGAGCAAATTACCTTGCCCTCAGGACTAGCATTTAGGCCCCTAAGACAAGCATTTCTTTAATACTACCTTTTTGTCACAAAGCTTGATGATTTATCATGATGATTATGTAATATATCATTGTGCCCAGTGATTTTAGTCTGGGAATCTGTCTGATGACATATATGTGCTCACTAGGGAATGCTGCACTTGCAACACTCGTTGCTGAGCATCAATAGCACCAACAATGAAAATATGAAAACGTCTAGGCAAAGGGGAATGGTTAAATACACTGTTATAGTGAACCAGGGGATACTCTGTTGTTATAAAAAGAACAAGGATACCTTTAGGTATTGATGAAAAAAAAAAGGATTTCCAGGAAACATAATAAAATAGCATTAAAAATCTTTGACAACTACCTTTACAAAGGAAGAAATGGAAAGAGTACATATTTATTTGCTTACATACACTAGATAATTCTCTAGAAGAGTTATCAACTTTTTTGAACATACCTGGTTGTGGTGAAGACTCCATATACTACAGGATTTCTTTCATCTCTTGTAGGGAGTAAATAAATATCTTCTATTTATGGGGAAGAATAATTCCAGTTACTTTATTTTTTAGTATAATATGTTTGCCTTTCTTAGTGAAATATTTTCTGAGATTTCAAAAAGTACACAAAAACCAGATATCAATGAATATCATTAAATTGCACATAAGTAATTAAAAGTCTAATTTTCTTACTAGTAGTGTGACATTTTAATCTGTTAGGTGTTTATTTTTATTATTTATAAATAGAATAGTTCACTTTGATAACCCCACAAACTTTTCAATCATAAGCCTAATATTAAAAATAGAAGATGCTAAACAAGAAAAAAGTGTTTTATCTCCATTGTGTGACTGTGTCAATTTCTTATTTTTTTCAATCATTTGGTCACAAAATAAATAGCTTCACAAGTAATTAACACAGAAGTTATACTAAACTGCATAAACAGTTTATTTAAAATATTATTTAATATATGAACGTGTTTATAAATAAGTTATTAATGAATACTGAATATAGAGTAAAACACAATGCTGACAAATAGTGAAATGATACAATCGTTTTTGAGGAGTGGAAAATAAATTAAAAAAATGAAATCTTAATATCTAATTATGCGAAACTAACATATAACCAAAAGCTATTCCTTGGATCATGTTTGAGAAAAGCAAAAGATGAAATGAAAGACAAGAAATTGCAATACTTTTCTGAGTATTCTTTATAAATGGAAGAATTCACCAAATTTCCAGTGCTGTCCAGCAGAGGGCATGAGTAGAATAAAAAACCCAAATTCTTACCACCTATAGGTAGTGCCACCTTCCATAGTTGAAGTTAGCATTGAGAATGAATGTACTCTATAGTCCCAGAGTCAGAAAGTTTCTTTCACTTGCTTTATTTTCATTTTACTCACTAAGACAAAGAAGTCTTAGAAAAAGAGGTATTGATTCATCGATAATGTGTACCCAAGCCCAAACACCTCAATAATATTTGTGTATTCAGATTTATTGAGTCATTCTTATAAAATGGATTAAGGGCTATAGTTAGGCATTTGGGGTAAAGCAAAATAAATGTCAAATTGCTTAATTAGGTAGTAAGAACTTTTAAAAAGTGATATGGACTTACGAAGCTCATCAAAGTGAGTATCGGCCCCATCACTTCCTGGAATGGAACAAATCAATCTGGCCTTAAGAAAAGTTGTCCATTTGTTAATCAGGCTGCGTTGTCCTCCTACATCATTCTGGGGGATAAAAAAAAGTGAAAACTGTAAAGATACAGACTTAGAAATACAATTCTTGTATCAACTAAAATTGGTGGCTATTGTAGAGTCTGCGTTTCATTAACGTCATTGCTTACAAGACAGAGAGCGTATAGATTCAAACTCTTAAACTTACGAATGAGAAAAAAAGGCAAAGTTTTGTTTGTTAACATAAATGCTTTTCTTATGATTGAATGAAAATATTGTAAGCAATTAAGGCTCCACTTGTGAGCAGCTGGATGCAAAGCTATGACAAATATGAAAAACTTTGAATCACAATCTCACCTCTGCCAGTTTTCACTGTGATATATAAAAGAATATTTAAATATTTCTCTATGTATCCTCATTAATAAAATAGTATTAAAGCCTTCAAATATAGTTACTTTGATGATTAAATAAGAAAATTTGTTAATATATTCAGCAAAGAGGAAGCAAATTGTTTTCCATCAATATCATCACTGACTTGTATATTACATGCATGTTTCAGGTCAGCATTCCATCCTTTAGAAAATATACTTGGTCTTTTCTAAATGTAGTAACCTGTGAAGCAGACACTAACACAACATAAATATTTATATATTAGCATGGAAATAAAAGCAATTGTGTTTTAAATGCTAATTTATATTTTCCATGTTTATTTACTTTGAAATGGTTCATTCAAGTGTTTCTTTGGACATTTACCAAAATATAAGCAGTAAATATATGAAATAAACAAAGACTATTCTATTTGATAATTCACCATAAAAGGAATTACTTTTATTACTTTTATATAATAGCCTATATATGACCATCAAATTAATAATTTTACTCAACTGGATCTGGTATGTTTATAGTAAATTAAATAAGAATACTTTGTGATATAAATCTATGGTTTGTTTTTTGTGGTATCAGGGGTTGAATAGTCACAATTCTGCAATGAAAGCGCTAGAGGGGAGTAAGCTGAGTAAGATCATTTCATTTAGCATTAAAGAGGGTCTAGAGAGAAATCCAAAGTCTTAGCTACACTGATAGTAACAGAAAACTCAAGAGACTCTTAGATTTATGGAGCACCGAGGAGGCAAATGAAGTCCTGGAGACTAGAGCCCTTTGCTATCTTTATAGCCTTAGTATTGAACACTGAGGGTGCAATGTAATACCTAGAGTGAGCCATGTTTTACACTCCCATCTGCTAAACACTTGAATCCAGCAACATTTTTATAGAAATAATAATTTAACATCTATAAGGTAAAGGTAAAGGTAAAGGCCCTCCCGTTGATCGTCGATTTGCTCGAGCGGGCCCAGTAACGAGCAATAATTTAAAAAATCATCTTGAACAAAACAGAATATTCTCTGCATCAGTTTATACTTCACAAATAAATTTACACCAAACTGTGAATTTCATCTCACTTGTTTTAAATGGATTTAAATAATTACAAATCACGTAAATCAATTCTTGGAATGCATATGCATCTGAAATCAGATTATTGGGGGCTGATTATATATGTATAGGTGTATGCATGTGTGTGTGTTTAAGGCAAAAATACAGTTATCACAACTGTGCTTATCTAGAACTTGGAATAACAAAAGGCTTCTGGGGAAGTATTATGTTATTGATACTGTTCAGAATTGCTTAAACATAGTAATAAAAAAATCAAACTGCCATTTAGTTGATTTTCTATTACTCTTTAATTCTCACCAAAAAGTAAATGCACTCCCTTATTCATTTAACTAAAAGAATTTGTGTCTTCTCAGTTTTTTTTCACATGGAAAAGCATCTTCACTAAAGAGAGTTAGATTTAACATTATCTTTAAAATAGTACATGGGGTGGGTTCAGACATGCAGAAATGGATTCAGGAAATTATCTAGGTCATGGGCGCTACAGATAAAGAAGAGCAGGTGGAGCAACTTAGAACATGTATCAAAGCCAGAATAAATTTTGTTTAGCTGAGGGCCAGAGAAACTGAAATTAAGATAAACCAAAGTGTGGAGGAAAACATTATGAGTTAACTGAGTTAATATCAAAGAAAAGGAAATTTATAAACCAAGGCCAAAGGCATATATGTGCTCTTAGTATAGACTGATGAGTAAATATTTAACAAATAACAAAGAGGTGAAATAATAAGCTCTATTTTTAAAAAATAATACATGCAAACCACATTCTATATAATAATCAAGTATCTATAATTGCTCCTAAATTTATGTTTTGTCCATAGCACTTATGTCATTTTCCAATGACAAATATAATCAATATTCAACTAGGTGTTGGATTATTTCAGATGTCTACAGATGTGAAGGTATTATCTGTGAAGACTTTCATTTTTTTCTTTTTTATGAGTTGATGTTAGTACATGACTGGATATTTCAGGGATAAAATTTCATTCCTCTTCAAAGTATATGCTACCACATTGACCACTAAAGAGCCAGTCCAGACTCCTTCCCCATCTTTCATCAAAAATTTTCCTTTTAAAGGGAATATTCTTTATTATTTAATAAATATAAACTCACATACCTAATTTCTTGATTTTCTTTAGCAGAATTCTTATTCTACAAAATGGATCTCTAATAAAACTTTTATATTTTAATTTTTACATTGTTACATATATTAAATTTTCTTGCCTATTATTTTAATTGTTGAGAGTCAGCAATAAATATTAAAATTCTGTGTTGTGTAACTCTTACAGATACCAAATACATCTAAAGAATTTATCAGTGACCATGAACAGAATTCCAGGGACTAGGTTTGATTTAATGCTTTTCCCTAAGCAGAGTAGATACTCTAGTCATTTTTCTAAATTAGTAAACAGACAAGTGAAATATTTGCTCAACCATATCCTTTTAATAGATATAGTTTAATATAAAGTGTAACAACTTTATCATAAATGCAAACAAACTTTTTTTATTTTCGGGCCAGAGGAGGCAGGTGTCAGGGCTCACTCCTGACTCTGTGCTCAGGAATCACTCCCAGGTATCCTTGAGAGGAACAAATGTGGTGTTGGGGATTGAATCAGGGTTGGCAATATGCACAGCAGGACCTTTAACTGCTGTACAACTCTTCAGCCCCTGAACAAACTTTTTAACTCACTACAATCAATAATAGCACAGCGGTAGGGCATTTGCCTTGCGCGTGGCCAGCCTGGCAGAGTCAGGTTTGATTCCTCCACCCCTCTCGGAGAGCCTGGCAAGCTACCGAGAGTATCCTGCCCGCACCGCAAAGCCTGGCAAGCTACCCATGACGTGATATGCCAAACACAGTAACAATGAGTCTCACAATGGAGACGTTACTGGGCCCGCTAGAGCAAATCGAAGAACAACACGAGGACAGTGACAGTGACAATCAATAAATTTTCTGGAAAGGAAGAATGTACCTGAACTGTGTTTTTTAACCCATTAAATAAAAATTGCAATATTTTGAACGAAAAAGATATAAATGCTCTTGCTTCCCATCTAGTTGCCTTCCCATATCCCTCAAGGAATAAAAAGATGAAAACAAACAAAAATCCAGGTCAAAGATGAAAGCCAACTGCTGTCATCAGGGGGACAAGTCTAGTTCTGGTGTAAGAGCTTTCAGGAAGGATTAGAAGTATTTAATGGCTGCATAGTAACTCTTAAAGACATCCAGAAGCATGACCTGGGACAGCAAAGTTCAATCACAAGGAGTTGTATTTCTTCTGTAGGGAAGTGTCAGCTGGCTGACTTTGTTGACCAGCTCTCAGTTTCTGGATTTGTTTGCAAATCCACTCAATCCCCTCTGAGAACTTTAAGCCCTTAAGAGGGCAGAGAGGGAGGTAACCACTTTTATACCAAATTGTCACCTCCTTGCTTTTTTTGTGAAGTTCTAAAGAACACAACCATCTCACTAACACAATAGATTTATTATTGAGATGTCACAATCACCAGCTTTTAGTCACCAATCACTTCTCTATGACTCTATTTATCACAGTTTCTTTGTGGTAAAATCACCAATAGCCTTGTCATCCTCACACAAAGATACAGAGAAAAGTAACAAAGAAATTAAATGAAAATATGGTCAATGTGGGTGGTAAGGGTAGAGAGTGCCTGTTTCATTCTTTGTAGCTTTCTATTGAACGTTTAAAACATTTCATTTTAAAACTGTAATAGGAACAAAAAAGCCAACCCTACAATGAAATAAAATACATAATATTTCATCAGCATTAAAATAAAGTATTTCTGGGTTCTCTGCTTGGGTGATAGCTGCATAAAATTAAATATTATATTCTGCTAACCACAGTATCTATTCATAGGTACATCAATCACAGGACAATTGAATGATGATTTCACTTTCCTTTGACTGTCTCAGCACACTTAAGTCCTTACATAGACACAAGAGCAGCTATGAGTTGTCAAGTATGGCATTTAATTGAGTGTGTCTTTTGACCCTTGGGTCAATATCCTGGGTTCATCTGTTAAATCTGTAGCATCTCTTTTGAGAATTTCTCAGCTCTTTATAAATATTGTCATTTCTACCTGTATATTGGGAAATAGAAGCACTTGGCAAATGTAATTATTGACATGCAGCACTTAGGCTCTTAAATCTTGAAGATTTATAAACTAGTGGAGTCTTGGAGACATTTGTGAACAAACATTAGATTATGCTTTTAAATTATGCTTTAAAGTGTACATTCAGAAATTTGCAGTTATGTTGCTGTTTTGTATAATTTTATTTCTTTTACTAAGGTATTTGAAAATTATTAACCGATAAAATAAAACTTTTATTTTATTCTTGTACATTTTAATGGCCACAACTTTTCTCTTTTGTCAGCGAACCAGTCACATGAAATACTGTTATAACATTTTTAAAAAGAAGACTCATAAACTGAAATTAAAGTACAAAGGACACCATTTTGGTTTTTAAGTTGGCAAACACTGAGGAATGAGACACTGTTAGCATTTAAGCAACAACACAGAATGCTTGTTACTACAATTAGAGCTTGTTTATTCTCCTTAGCTTAACATACAGTTTATTTGCCTAATACTGTTTTTC